CTTGCCAGTGCTGGACATTGGCACAATATATGCACCACTGTCTTCTTTTCTTCTAGACATAGTTTGTAAGTGTCTTCGTCAGCAAGAGTTATTTAGAAATCAAATTCTTTAAGTATAATTTTTTTTTGTCAAATGTAACGCGTCTTATGACGAAAAGAAAACTAGAAGGGTTCAAACAGTCATGCAGAAACAATAACAAAAATATGATTAATGTATTCAAATTTGGTTGACCATACAAAACTACTTCGAGTATTGCCAAGTACTTATTATCAGTGATCTTAGGAAATATTCGAATTTTTATTTAATTAGTTTATAATCCGTATATAATTTGTGGGACTGCAACTGTCTGGCTTGATAAAATTCTTTCATTGAAGTGTTAAGTTTTATAACAGGAGTTGTATCGAATTTTAATAGTTAAGAGGTTTTCACTCTGTCATGCAAGGTTTTTACAAGAATGTTATACTAATATTACAAGAGAGCAAAAGCACCTCTGTTGCGAAATTTCAACATCAAAATGAAACAGCTGTTTTTAAGGCATACTACATCCACATGAGAAGCAACAGATGTTAAAACAGCTGATTTTTTTCATTTTTTATTTCGTTGCAAGCAAAGTTAAGTTAATAATAATATTAACACAATGATTTATTTTAGGTACTTCCTCTGCGATAGCCCAACTAAAAGTGAGCGAGCACACTTTCGCGGAGTTGACAACTACGAAAATCAAACGTGACTTTTCCAGAAAAAAAAGTTGATGTCCTGCAGAATTCTGCCGTTAATGAAACCAAGCACAGGGTCCGGATTCAAGAGGCCGTAGGTGTTAACTTATACATGGGTTTAAATATAGCAAGATTGCAAGAAACTTTGTGTGTGTATTTTATTGTAATCCATTGCAAGCTTGTACAATCTGTGCATGTCGTACACCTTGCAATGAGTTTGCAAGACAGAGTGAATGCACCTCTAGTAACTGACGAGTTTGGGAGTCTTAGGTTTATTTCATCACCATGCATTTGGGGGGTCCTAGGTTTATTTCATCACCATCACGATATATTTTGAATTTCAGTAATTCTATATCTAGATAAATATTGTAAACTTTAAAATATGTTTGTAGCTCATTAAAGTTTTATTTTAATAAATTTATTACTTTATTAATAAATTTTTTTCTTCTTATAGATTTGAAAAAATTCGTCATCTTATTCAACAAATTGAAATATATCTAATAATAATTCGAAATTCTAAATCAATTCTAAAGAAAATATTTATATATTAGTATAAATATGAAATTAATCAAATTTTTTATTTTATTATAAATTATATCATATTTCTTAATTGTTATTATGATTTCTCAGTATTACGTACCTTAAAGTTATTCATGCATTACAACTTTTTAATTAATACAATCTGTATAAATTCATTTTAAATACTTAAAGTAAGAATTTAAGCAACATGTAGTTTGAATAGCAACTTTCGATATTATAATTATTAGAAAAAATATCATATTAGGTTTATAAATGAAATAGAATATAACTAGAAGTATATATGATTCACAGTTCTAACTACGTAGTATTTTATTTATATATTTAATTTTTAAAATTACATTTGGAAAAAAATATTAATAATAGTGTAAAAAGTTCTTATATACCTTTTGATTATATTTTTGGTATGCAATACCAGTATATATTTTATAAATAAAATGAATTTCAACTGTGTTAAAAAAAAATGCAACGAGTACATTGTTCCAATTAAACCATTATAAAACAATGTAATATATCCAATAGCAATATGTTACAAAATAGATTACCACTAAACCTTTACGGTAACTTTAATTATGGCCGTAGACTGTATTATATTATAAAGATGAGTATGAGGTTATATTATAAAAACTAGCTGCCGTAAATTTTAATAAAAATAATCACGAAAACTATACCTCTCTTTTTAATTTACGCAATATACGAGGTTTATAAGGCATCAATTAGATTCCATAAGTATTATTTAATGTATTTTCTTCTCACAAATTTTAAAGTTTATATCCATTTTGTTTAGAATTTTTTATAATCAATAATTAAAGCATTAATACAAGAAATTGTTGAGAGTTACCCACTGTTCTTTTAAGCTATAAGACCTGTACATAAAACATTCACAATTACTGTTAATCAAGTAATTATAATTGACTGTATAATTTAGTACAATTTGGTTGGTACTTTAGATATATATTCTTTGTAAAAAACTTATTCTGTCGCCTTTGAACTAGGGAGAAGAAAATATTTACAGTAGCGTTAAAGCCAATCCTCCACACATATATCATATGCTAATTTAAGTCTGACCTTCAACTTCTTTTGCGTTTTTTCTTTTATGACCGCAATCCACTGAAAGCGCCTTTCTCAAAATCGTAAGTGGTTTGTGGAACATAAAAAAGTTACTGTACAGTAAAAGTAACTATGAAAAATACAAAGAATGTATTTTTCTTAGTCTTCAATTGAACACCTTATTCTTTTTTACATTATGCAAGAATTCAGTAGTTTTGTGGTTTTTCAATTATGAAAGTAGTTATTTGCACTTGCAGTTGTTTTGCTGGAACAAGCATTATGATCAATGCATGAGGTATTTTAATACATGAGAAATTTCTCTTTTCAATCGTGCGAGCAGAGAATGGGAATATATGGTTTCAGCAAGATGATGGTTCATTCTACTTGAGAGATAATGTAAATGATAATGTTTATGATAGTCCACTCCAATCATTTTGGAGTAGGCTATCTGAAAATGTAACTATATAGAAGCAAACCACAGATTTGACGGAATCTTAAAAATAATATTTAGACATATTTCAAAAAGTGATGTAGGACTGACCCGTGAGTTCGTAAGCTTTAATGGAGGGCATTGAACTAATATCGTTATCGATATCTTATCGATATCATATCTAATATCGATATCTTTGTAAAGTAAATAATGTATTAAATTATTAAATTTAATTAAGATATAGTTTAAAAACAATAATTTTAGTGTATCAATTATATAAATTGAGCAGCTTTTAGCGTTTTAGTTATTATTGTAACTACCTTTGTATATCAAGGTATATTACTTATAATATCATGATGTAATACAATATTATGTATTATTTTCATAAAAGTTATTTTTAAAAAAGATACTTATTGAGTTGAACAATTCGACTATAAACTGAGTTATGGATGTCGAATTCCAGTTGTTGTGAATTGAAATTCAACTCATGAGCTCCTTTGTGTATTCCTCATAGATGTCAGATATGTTATTATTTAATACTAATAGACAGACTTAATATGTTATTAGCTTGCAAAGTTTCGGGTATTAAATTCCTATTTTCTAATGGGCTTCTGTCCAGAAATAAACAGCCATATTAAAGATTAAAATTTAATTTAACATGATATAAACATCGAGGTGATTGGAGTAACTCCTTCGAAAAAGTGTTGATATCGCCATGATGCTGGCTATTATAAAGTGCTTTAATATTTCTGAGTTAATTTTAATTTTTATCTAGAACAGTTTTTCTTCTCTGCTTTGGGAGTCTCTGTCTCAGACACATATGCGGAACGTGTCGAAAATCTGGTCAAACCGATAGCTAATAATAACATATGTTGAAATCTTCCTCTATTGAGCAATTTAAAATAAGATAAGAATATTTAACCATAACAAACTGTATGCAATTTCACCCAGTTGTTTTAAAAAAAGTTCAGTAATCTTATTGATTTGCCTCGTAGGGATAATATACTAGAAGATTGAATCTCCTTTTTAACAGTTCCTGTCGCAGTTATTGGGTAAACAAATAAAGAGCGTTAGTTCTGCTCTTTATCTAATTTTTAAAACATCTGAGTTAGTTTCAAGACCTCCATTTAAACAACATTCTAGGTTTCGACAAGGCTTGAAGATAGTTTTGAAGTTGGAATCAAGATGGACTCTGAGATTTTATATGGTAGCACAATTAGTCGATGAGCATAAGTGAATCCGGTATAACCTTACTTACACACCAGACCACGTTGGTTACTAATCTGAGAGGTACTGATTAGAAATTTTAAATGATCCTTAAATGTTATTTGAATTAGCAATTAAACCTCACAATCGGTTTCGTTTGTCAATTTTGTAGGTTTTTTAATAAGTAGCGTCTTTTCTAGGAATAACTGAGATTGAGGACACATGCCAATAAATTTTAGTTATATGATATAAATTAATTTTTTGCTATATCATATTTGATGTAAGTAATAACGTATACTATACTATTAAAAGAAAAAAGTCTACTAAAAAAAAACATAATAAAATACAATATAGAATATATTTTATTCTCAAATTACTTAAGTGTATTTGGTATATTGTGATATTTGAATATATATATTAAAAAAATATCGGATAAATAAATGTAAATCAAAAATAATGCAATATTTTAATAAAAATTAAAAATAAATAAGAATTAATTTATAACAAATAATATTACTTTTTTTTGTTTGCTGCTTAGATATCTTACTAAAACACTTAAATTAATTTATCAAGTATAAATAAATAATATTTATTATAATATTTTTTACTTATTTTTTGACTATATTAACCGATAACGAATTTAGTAAAAAAGAGCTTAATAACTAATAAAAATAATAAAATATATACAAACAAACTAAATGAAAAGATATATCCGTATAAGTAGCACGGTATAACTTTTAGCGCCTACTTCATATAATTAATTAAATGGTTTTTTGCAATTTAAGTAAACAGAGAATATAAATTTATATATTTAGGAACAAATATTTTGTTTATATCAATTTAAAAAAAATCAAAAATGTATATTAGGTGGGAGCTAAATTATTATTGTTAGATAAATAAAATCAATTTATCTTCAAAAAAATATAGCATATACTTATAAAAAGTGTTAAGTATATTTATAAGGAATATTTTGAAAAATTTATTATCTTTCTGATTTATTTCAACAATAAATATAAAAACTTTATTTCATTAAATTTTTACTTAAAATCTAATGTAAATTATTTCAAATGTGAAAATATTTAAACAAGAAACAACATTGCAAGTATAGTAACATAGCTTTTACATATTTCCATCCCATTTCTCAGGCATACCTAGTTCACTACCACACTTGGGGTTGTCATCCATGCCACAGGGATAAAAGTGTGGCCAGTTCTTTATATAACGATAAACATTTGCACCTGGACTCTTGCTTGATTTTGTCTGCAAAAAAGTAGAGATATAAATTTAAAATAAAGGTTAATAAATCAGACAGACAAGGTTATACCTGATTTTGTGCTACTAATTTATAAGCCAAGTCAATGTATTGACTTGTTTTTGCATGAGCCAATAGAAATTGTGTGGCTTCCAATTGCTTATCACTTGGTATGTAGCGACCATAGTCACCCATAAACGTCACAGCCAAGGTATCATTTGCATAAGTATTGGCGTAATCCCAGCCACGTCCCACATAAATATTGCCATCGTCACCGACCTTTTATGGAAAAACATTACAATTCATTAATGCTGAATAAAAAAGTACGTGATCAAATGGCAATTAAGTTGACTCACATAAAAGTTTGCCTGTATATCTGGTAAATTCTTTTCAGCAATTGCTGAATCTTGTATAGTGCGCATTTTAATGGAGCATTTATATATATTTAAACAAGGTACTGACTGTACACCGATGTGTGTTATGAGTACATATGGTATGGGATGTTTCAACGGTATCGTTAGTTTTTTAGCCAATTCTGAAGCACCCCATTGTATACGATCAACTATTAGATGTCCATTTCCTAAATTCGGAACTAAGATACTTAAAAATAATAATAAAATCAAATGGTTGATAGATTAAAATGTAACGATGTTAATAAAATAAAAAAGTGAATCGTATTTCATGAGTAGAATAATATAAATTATAACTTTCGATTTTTTAATACTTACAAGTTCCATGTTCATAATTGTTCCCAAATAATATTGGTCCCGTCTCTTTTTTTCCAGTTGCATTAAAATACACAACCACACTGGCAATGATCAATATGATCAATAAAACTATTAGCAGGATAAGTAGTTTTGATGTGATAGTCAATTTTTGTGTGATGGAGGTACTACTAGCATTCCTGTTCTGATTGATTCCTAAAATTATTAAATTACAATCCGTTATACGTTTTATGATATATTTATTATAAATGTCTTTTAATTAATTTATTAACAGTTTTTGAATTAAAACTGTACTTAATTAAGTACAATTGACTAAATAAAATTTATATTTTATATTTCTCTTTATATCTTTTATTCATTGTTCATTGTTAAATAATACAATTAAGACGTGAAACATACCAATATTTCACGTCTTAATTGCGGTTGTGGTATCTTACTCTAGTTCACCAACTTACGTGTTCCGCATCGCAAAATTTTTCCTATCTAAGAAAATTTTATATGGTAATAGTATTTATTATGACGAAAACCAAAAAATATTTTTATTTAGATCATAATTAATATGAAAACGTCATAATTGATATCAATACAATATTAAGTTTCTATTAAGATATAGTACAAGTAGTAGCCTGTGTCGCAAAAATATTGGTTCACTTAGAATCTGAAATTAGGTCAATTGTGATACCACAGTTTATAAGCTCGATCTAAACGGTCTAAGGAACTAAGGTATAGATAGATTTATTTTGTACAAGACACTTTGTCTTTTTAATAAAAGTCAATATCTTTAACGCCTATGGTAGTGATATCAGATAGACATTAAAACAATGGAGCTTCAGAGTGAATGGGAGTCTTCTGGTAAGACCCAAGCAATGACAGAGTAATTCATAGAGTAGAGTAGAGTTGTTCGTGTGATCTATAGTTAAAATAGAAGTTTTTGAAAGGAGCCATTAATGCATCTGCGTGCGACGAGCAAGACTAATCAGTTGTTTAGTTATTTTCTGATCATGGGCGGACCATGTCATACCTGTGTTCTTCGGGCCATTTATGGCTATACATAGACAAAATTTTGCGATTTTTCTACTGAACTTTTGAATAATGTTCAATAGACAAAATTTTGCGATTTTTCTACTGAACTTTTGAATAATGTTCAAATTTTCAAAAAAAATTTCGAAGGTGTTCATTTGCATTTATTTCACTCTTTCATTATTCTTTATTACATCTATAAACTAAACATATTACCTAGATACAAGAATTATTTATATAAACTTCTAACTGCTAAAACTAATAACTTAACTATCCTAGTGTTACTAAATATATGTTTGTGGCTGTAGTTTTCTCTGAAACCCAGCGGAACTCAGCGGAATAGTGGGATAGATTAAGTTTTTGCTCTCTTTTTATTTCTTAAAGTTTCTTCCAAGGAGTACTTCAAACTTGGAAAAATGTTTTTTCATGGAGACATTGTTTTTCTCGCATATTATGACATAAAATTATAGATGAAGTCTGCATACAAAATTTACTAATGAAATAATGTATTAGGAAAGAGGTTATTATTGAAAATAATTGGAGATAGTCAAGGATACCATTATTATGACCGTGCGAATTGAAATTAGTGCTTTGATTAGTACTTGCTTAGAATTGTTGTAATCAAAATCAAAAATATGTTCCAATATATAACCTTATTGTATTCTGAAAAGGATTCAGTTTATTCAAAAAGTAAAAATATAAGAAAACTTTATGGCAAATGATTAAGCTTTTAATATTCTATTGCTAATTTCATAACAAGAAACCCGTCTTGTGTCATATTTAGTGATGAATATTTATGAAACAAATATTTAGTGAACGTTAGTTGCAGGATAATAACAAATATTTTCTGAATAGATACTTAAAATAAAGGACACAACAAATTACCAAAACGGATTAAAGTAAAGCTATATCATTATTAAATAATAGGCTATGAACCGGGGCTTGAAAGATTTATTGTGTTGCTGAATGCCGAACTAAAAGAATTCTAGAGTATTTATAAATCTCGTAATTACTGTGAGCTTAATTTCATCTATTTATTTTGGGACCAAAGTGAACTTAATAATTTTCAAACTAATAATTTTCTAGCACTTCTTTGCATTAAACTATTGTTTAAATTTTTTTATAAGATTAAATTTTGAATACGTATATTATTTATACTTTTGTTTATTAAAGTTACCAATAAAATCTTAATAAATTTAATTAAATTTAATTAGAATTGCTAAAAAAATCAATTTAATTTAAGATTACAAGTTGGTTATGATATTAAATTTATTGCATAAAATTGATTAAATATTTCTTTAATGTTTATTAATACTAAATTACTGATTTTTATGATAACGTATATGGTAAATACTTCATTTTTATCGTAAGTTTGTTTAAAAGCATATAAATAAATTTAATTCCAACAGATGTTCATAAAATCGAAAATAACTCAAAAGTTTATATATAAAATATATATGTATATACATGCTATGTTTAACTTTATTTAAACCAAAATCTTGGAGAAACACTCCAAGTTAGATATTTATAATTTTGTTGTCAGTATGTATATGTTACTTCGATTTATTTTAAATTTCAGTGTCCTTCTTAATGTTCCTGCTTACCCTACCTGCTTGCAAGTAACTTCCTCAGAAAATTTAATTAAATTAAGATACTTTTGCAATCAAAAAATATTATTTTAAAACTTAAGATAAAAGTCAGAAAGCAATGAACTTTTTAACAAAGCAATTCAAAAGGAATTCAGAAATAATTACAATAATTAATCATGCAACAATTAAATCCAATAATTGCGGAACGTGGTTTGTGTGTTGCATTTACACAGTTTTTAAAATTCATAATTCGTATTGCAGTTAATATTGAACAACTTAATATTAGTAGAGCGAAAGTGTGATTTTTAAAATGTCAGAATATAGTAAAAAAATATTTTTGATTTCAAAAGCACTCACATGATTGAGTAACAATAACTGACTACAGTACTTAGTAGCTTATTCAATATAATTAGACTAAAATTAAATTCATCAACTACTGTAGCTGGGGACTGTAGCTTAGTCATGCAAATCTTTCTCAAATGTTGAAACATAGATATCAAACATGATGATGATGATGATCGTTTGAAAGCAACAATAACCTTAATATTTGAAATATTAATGTATGCACATGTGCTAACTCAAACTATTGAAAATCAATTGCTTTTACTTTATACAGATTTAAGGAATATAAGTTGAAATACTATCACTATCATGCATTCAAGTGCTATGGTGTAGCATTTTATTCTAAAATTAATTGCATGTCTACCAAAAAGCATTGGGTAAATAAAATTCATAAGGCTACTAATTCATTTATAAAAATTAATTTGTTTTTGCTGAAAAATCAGTAAATAAGTCATTTAAGATATAAATTGCATGTAAACAATGTGGGATAAATTAAAAATTTTTTTGCAAAAATGTGTTTTGCTAATAAAACTACACTTTCTTTTATGGTCAATTTTTTATAACTGCAAAAATTGATCTTAGGTTCTAACAACAGAACATTGACACGATAGTTCAGGTCACACTAACTTTTTGTAACCAATAGGTTTTTCTTGTTTTTAAATCTGATGTATTGACTCACAAAAACAAAATTACATTCATTTTATAATATTTTAAACAAATTCTAACATAGTCAAAAAAATATTGTATTGGTAAATATTTATTGAGCAGACCTAATTTTTTATAGCAATTTTATCCAAATTTTTTACAATACTTATATACTCTTGTAGATTAAACTTCAGTTAAAAAAAATTTCTTATATAATCTTATTTAAGTATTTATTTTCTTTTACTGCATTTTTAGAGAAATACTTGTTTATTTTTATATCAAAATACTTATTTTATTTAATATTAAATAAACACAAAAACAAGATTAACGTTAGTTTTGTCGTAGAAATAATACTGTTTATTTAGAGTTTTTAATCACTTAAATCTTATTACAAAAAATGTTTATACTCGTATAAAATCTTATATTCAAATTAATCTATTCTAATAAATTTTCAAAGATTCCATATATATAATATAGTTATAAAGTTATATAGTTAAAAATTCGAATTTGGATCACTAGCTCATAGGCCATCCTTCAAGTTATAACTTATCGAAAGTATTTCTCAGAATGCTTGTAATATATAGTTTTATTTTAATTTTAACTAAATAGATGGATCAATAAGTCTTAAGTCTTTTAAAAAAATTGGAAAATGCATTTAGATCTTCACTTATAAATATCTAGGGTAAATTCTGCGAATTGTGAGGAGTTGTTATAAAAAAGTTTACCACATCGAAAGAAATTAAATCCCGAGACTAACCATTGAGTTGGAAAAACATTACGTGAATAAAGTAGCGACATGTCGGTATGTCACCTATATTGTGGAAACCGAGATAAAGATGTGGATATATGAAGTTAGGTAAACCGTAAACCGTGAACATTACAACAGTATTAGATTGAGAAATATAATGTCACACTGTTGACATAAGCAAAATTTCATTAGTCAAGAACAAAATTTAAAAGAATAGTTTAAAATTAAGTATCATAAAGTAGATGTGTGCTCTGACTATTGCATTTCTGACTATAGTTTTAAATATTTACCCCGGCTTTGTGTTACTAAAATCACTTTTTTACATACACAGATGACTAAGTTAAACTTGCTCATTTTATCAAAAATTGTGCTAATTTTATCAAAAATATATATATGAAGTGTATATACAGTTAATTCTTCCGTGACTTTTATATTGCATTATAAACTCTTAGACAAGTTTAATAAGTTGTCATGTCACATGTATAATGTGTATATATTATATTCGTATATATAGTATATTACAAGTTCTTCGATAATTTATGTACTATATTTTAAACACCTTGATAAGTACAATATGTTTTTGGTAATCGTTTAAAAATTAATATTAATATTTTCAATCTTTAGGCCAGATATAACTTCAAAAAGAGTAAAAAAAAGTATCCGTAATTTATAATTGGAGTTCAATATTATTTATTGACTAAAAAACTTTTTTAATTGAAAAGAAATAAATAAATTTACAGCATATGGCCTAGGTATCAGGCAATTATTCGCGACAATGATCTTTCTTTACAAATTATTGAGACATTAGTTTGTTTAATAACCATTGGGTGCTTGAGTTGGAATGGTTCGAACTTCATTAAGTATCTTAATTTGAGTGAAATTAGGACATGTTACTTTAATTGGGCGTTTATTATGAAATTTTTACAGTTCATGCATTTATTACAATTTTTTTTTAGAACTATATCTTTCTATTTATTAATTATTTTATGACAAAACGATTTTAATAAAAGTGCTTTTTTTCAGGCTTACATATATATCAAAATTTTTTTTAATATTGATGAAAAATAAATATTAAGAAAAAAACTCAAAATTTATTTTACAATAATTTTTATTTTATAAATATTTCGCCTGAAATAAGACTGAAAAAAACTTTTGTTATATCTTTTTAATATTATAAACAGTTGTAAAATATACTACTATATTTCTTCTGTAAGATGGTGTCTTTGTGTTGTGGTACCATTTAGGATTTGATCGTGATCTGTTAACCAGTGTTTTTACTTCAATTATTTTTACAATTATAATTTTGAGTGTACTACGATGGCAGTAAGTCAATAGAGACCAAGCGTCATTTCAATGCAATTGCAGTCGTAAAAAAAATCACTAAAGAACAATTGGTTCAAGCATTAGTAAATTATTAGTAGCATTATTATACTCGATGGGTTCCACTCTTAAGTCAAAAAAATGATTTTAATTAATTAATTTTTTAAATTTAATTAATTTAAAAAAGAATTTAAATTAATTAGAGATAATTAAAATAACTACATATACTTATTATACAGAATATTAATTTTTTTTAAATTAAAAAAAATTTTTTGTATCTCTAAATTTGTTAATATAAATAGAAATACATACTTAACAATTTACAGCTATAATGCAAATAAAATTAATACTGAAATATAAGTATGAAGAAGACAAGAATTTATAGTACATACCATATTCTATAATTATCTCAGCTTATTAGATTTTTGACTTATAAAATAATAAATTTAATTCCTCTTCATTATTATCTTAATGAATCATGTACAGAATTAATTATTTTAGCAGATTCTTATCTCATATTTTTACTTTTGAAACCATATATTTGCATCATTAAAGATTAACTGAATCATTTTGTGGTGCAAAATGTAAAATTTCCTAACCAAAATTGATAACTCAGTGTAAAATAGCAATTTTCTCCTATAGAAATACGTACTTTTCAGTGATGTTACGGCTGTTTTCGAACTAGTTTCCGGCGAATTCCATCGATGACGTTTACGCGTTTTTTCTGAGTTTACTTTTAGTAGCAATTTCATACTAAATAAATTTTTTTTTAATTTTTTACTATAAATTTTATGTAATTACGTATATAACTGCTAATTTATATTGAATAATTGTGGTCACTGCTTTGTAGATCTAAATACACCGCCTTTAAATTTTTAAGTTTGTTTATAAGCATTTAAGTTCGTTTGGATCATATCATTATTTATTATATTTACACATAAATTTGTTGCAATATTTATTTTTCGTTATGTACACAATTTTTGCACTTTCGTTATATTATTAATATATATTTTCTTATCGCGAAAGCATGGCGTCAGTCTTTACAAGACTCAAGACAGACAAATACTCTACGTACAATGAATCGAATTGACTGAACTAAAAACATAAAAATTCTAACTGCTGTGAGTAAGCTTGTGACGTCATAACATTAGCGTTTGTCATTTGTGACTGATATATTCATACAAGTATCTCACTACAAAAATAGACAACCGAAGCGTGTATTTCCGTTCAACTTTCATTTCATGTGTTGAAAAATTATTAAATTTTATATATTTTACACACGAAAAAAATTATTTCACATAAATGTTATACTTCTGTGTTAGCAATTAATTATACATTAATTTTTTAATCATATTTTTTTTAAATAATTTTCATTTATACTCAAAACCATTAAAATTTCATTATCGCTTTTGAAGAGTTTAGACGTTGTTTATCGGTCTTCAACAGAAGTTGTACTAAACTTAAACGTTAATTTTATACAAACTTTACTCATTTTATTGACATTTTTTTCTTTCTTTTGATTCCATTTTTGGCTTTGTATTGATCACTGTCTGCAAAGACCTTTACGATTATTTAGCGAATGTGGGCTTAGCCGTCCACGCGTGCGACTTTCTACCGTTCACGTCAGACTGTCCACTGCCTATTCTGGGCACTGCATTATTATCCGCGAGAGCTTGTATACTAACAATGTAGCTTCGCTAAATATAAATTCCGGTATTATTATATCTTAATTGGTTAATAATACAGCGCTTATTTTTCAGCTTAGGGGGTTACCTTTACTTGACAGTTTGCATGCCTCACTCATTGTGTTGCTAATTTGCTTAAACGTTTCTGAGCACTCGCGATTTTTTAAAACAAATCAAAATTAAGGTAAATTATAAAAGTTGTTTGAATAATAAAATAAAAATTTTTTTCATCAATTATATGTGAAGGCACAAAAAAATAAAATTATAAATTGCTATAAATCAGATTTTAAATTAATTACGTTTATATCTGCGATTCTACTACGTGACGATAGAATGAACCAACCGTCAGAGTAAACAACCGATCAAGCGAATTACCTCACATTCACATACCCAGAAACGTTTATTGGTGTGAACACAATGCAATGTATGTACTGTATCTCAAAACTCTTGAAATACTTTGTGAAATTCACAATGATATTGCAGTTTACTTAAGTCCATGTATTTACACAAATAAGAAAAAGTGTGAACTTTAATTATAATTTTGAAAATTTAATTTTTAATTTTGAATTCAAAAATTATTATATATCTTTAAAGGTATACATATATTAAGGTATGAACTTGCGAAATATTTATTTATTTATTTCAGAGTCAACACTAAAATTAATTTTAAAGATAAATAAGAATAAGGAACTGGACTACTAGGTCCTTCATTCATAAACGAAATATATTTGTTAGGGCAGCGATAACATGAAGGAAATATTAAACTTTCCAAAAATTTTTAATATATTTTTCAACCTTAAATTTTGTCAATTATATGTATATATTGAAATTATATTAATTATGTCTTGTAAAAGAATGCCATACTGTGATAACACAAAACCTTTTTCTTTTGATAATGTCATTTTTTCTTCTACATTCTTACTCATAGTTCATATAAAAATATCATACAAATAAATTTTGTATCCCTGTTTTTAAATAATCTACGGTTATTATTTTATAGGTAGGGCGAAAGACCTAATAGTCCAGTTCCTTAGTCTTAGAAAACGTATAAATTAATTTTAGTGTTAACTCACAAATAAATAATTAAATAAATAAATAATATATTTTATGCATATAACGAAAACAGAAGTTATGACCTTTTCTGCTATATTTGCAATGAGTAGATTCAAAATTTTCTGTGGTGATTTAAAAACTTTAGAGCATGTGGACATCATTTCCTAATAGAATTAATTTCGCCGTAGAATAAAAAATTTTTCTAGCGATTAGAAGAGTTTGATAAAATTTGTAGTGTTATAGCCAAAATAGAATTCTACCCACGAATTTTGAAATCACTATTATAATGTTCAATGATTGATTAAATGAATAAAAAAGAAGAATTGAATATTTTTTTCTTCTATATGAAGTAGGAAAATAAGAAAGAGCAGTTATAAATTGATTGTTAGAAATACTAGATGGATAATTTGTCAATTTTTTAGATTTAGCAGTAAAAATTATTTGTTGATTAACCAAAAATAAATAAAAAAATTTTAATTAAGTATAAAAGGCGTATAAGTAAAGTGTGACAAGTTAGTTTAACAATGTAAGTTTGTCTAAAGTAAAGGCGCAGTAGTCGGTTCCATTCTATACAATATCATTCCTGATATTAATCCACAGGTAAGATTTTCCAACAATAAGTGTATTAGTTGGTTACATGGCCAATATAACAAAAACACATTATGTACTCTGTAATACTGCGATAAATAACACGTGAAAAAAGATTATTTAGTAAAAGTACGGAGTTAGGTATAAAACAATTCATGGAGTTGTTTTTATATTTATTTACAATATTAAAGTAGGTCTACTGTTCTCTAAAAGTGATTTCTCACAAAACAGCAAAGATGGCCTAAAATGAATATATTTTGACAGTCCTCAAAACTTATTTAATCCAATTTAAACAAAAATGACACCTATAAGTTGCTTCAACTAAAGAGAAATCTAATCGATACTACGGTATCTGTGTTAACTGGTTTCTGCGTGTTAGAAAGATTGAGATTTGGCCTATATTATACTACTATTGCATTTCTATAAAAGAATAGAAAACTTTACTATATGTATCAGAACCAATCTTGATTAGTAAAAATTTAGTAAATTTAAAAAAGGAACCCAATTACCAATTTTTTACTAATTATGGATTTGTCAATGGACTAGGTCTAGTATATGAACAATATTTTATCCGTGATAACAGAACGGGGTTTGATATGCAAGTACTGTCTTACTGTCTTTTAAATACCATTTAATTTCTTGAAATAATTAAATAATAAAATTTTTAATTTATCGGATATAATTTAATGGATATAGTATAGTATTTAATAAATGTAATGAGTCTTCTAAACTGTGTTTTGCGTTCTAGTGGCATTGTAAGCATTAAAAAAGCAACTTTTTTCATATTAGTGAAGTTACTTCAACAATCCAGAAAACTTATCTACATTTTATGGTGCAGATGCGAAGCAGTAAATAACAAAAAGAAAAAGCAAGAATATGAAAAGTTTGAAGAATTTTTTTTCATTAATAGTTAGCAATAGGTAGCAATTAACTAATTCATTAATTTAAAAGTTGAGTTCAAGCACCAAACAGTTTTTTAAAGGAACCAGTTTTAAGAGTTTACATCGTGATAATTTTATGATTTTTATCATTCACATTAAATAAATGGTTTCTATCGAATTTTATAAAATTCTTAATATATTTTTGGAATATATTAAAACTATTTAATCTATGCCTTCAAAAATAAAATTATTGAATATTTTCTAAAACTGCTTGCTTTTCTCCAACTGCCATGAATACTAATTAACACTAACAAAATTGGTGGTTTATACATAACTCTTATGAAAGTTTAGAAAATATGATCTTAATTGATGTTATATTAGCAGTGCACCAAAGATCTTTTGGCCTTTACAAGCGGGTTTAATCGGCCCCTTAAGAAATTTCAATGCAACTTAAATGAACTAGAAATAAAGATAAAAAGAATCAAAAGAATAAATATATATAAATCCCTTTATAATCAAGTAAAAATGTTAGTTTTTATGTGTAAGACCACATTTTATTCTTTTTGACTCTTTTTTGACTTAAGACGAAGTCTTAATATTTATATTATCAGCAATATTTGGAACTGACAACTTTTTGTAAATTTATAAATTATTTTTTTATGCACACAAAATTACATTATTATATTAGTTATAACAATTATTTTAATAGACATTAATAATTTATAACACTTTAATTTTATTGTTATGACTCTTTTGTGCTATATGACGTCTTTTAGCCAAAAAAAAACTAATTAAACGGAAACTTTTTCGCATAATAATTTAGATTTCCATCTAAAATAAATTAAAGTAAAACCTATAAATTATTTCATTTGAAATCAACCCATTTTCGAAAGTTAAGTATAATTTCGACTTTAGAAACTGTCACGTTCTTTTATTTTTAAATGAATTAAATATATACTATTAATTACAAATTTTATATAAATATATTTATATATATATATATTTATAAATATAATCATAAATACGTAATATATATACGTAATATATATAAGCTACACTTATCAATGTTTCTTATATATGTACTTGTTACATCATTTGGTTACATCATTCCAGATGTTCATTCATAAGGAATTTCCTTAAGTTAATTCTGCCTAGTCAGTGGAGAAATAATCTTCTAAACAATGCAGCCGCTTCTATTGTCTCGAGCAGAGACATGTAAAGTGATTGTTAGATTTCACTTCTTCTTTATCATAACTCTTAGAGAGCCTGCTTGATAATTGCGCAAACGATACAAAAGTACTCTAGCCCGTTAGTACTCCAGCAATTACACTTACGAACTATAGTACCAAAGAAACGCAATGGTGATAACAAATGGATTGACAAATGGTGATAAAATTTTTTAATACTAAGAGGTGATAAAAGTCTTGATCTGTGAAATGACTTGGTATTTCTTGACTAATTTGCATATTGAAATAGAATAAATTCTTTTTTTCTTTATGTGAAATCAGCAGAGTTCTTTTTTAATTATAACTAATATGCATGGATTCTTAACGTTCTAACATTGTATGTTATTCATATATTAACATATTAAGCAATAATTTAATTTTGATTTTAAAAATATTATTTAATGTATATATATTTTTTTAACGATTATATTTGTCATTATTGTATGAAATCATTATTTTATTAAGACAAATCCCTAAAATTTCTGTGATTTATACTTACAAAATAAACAGAGGTGTTTTTTATTAGATCGAACCGTATATATTTCAGCCACTGTTGTGTCAGATCACATGGAGAGAAACGGTTTAGCAGAAATTGCGGAAACTTTGATGAAGAAAAGACAAACACACACTTTATCTGAAACTGCTCAGTTTTGACATACAGAAACCATAGATTTTTAGAGAAATAAATCAGTTTGACACTGAAAATATTCTATATTCATAATATTCTGCTTATTTTCTCTAAGTTTAGATAACAGTCCGACAAATTAAGAATAGTAAGAAGGTAAAATTTAAAGTAAACACTAAACAAATAATAATAAATTATCAACTATAAAAACTATTCTAGGTGTAGAT